CTCCCAATTCTACCAATATGTGTGCCAAGACCTGGTGTCACAAGTGTATGAGCATCTAGTAGATTATACAAAATTTTAAATACTGTGTGAAATAAAAAAATATAGACAGAATGAAAATACAAGGAGAGATACTGGTAGCTGCAGAACGGCTAAGAAAGGCAGCTCACCACTACGCCTCTGGATAACGTGGGTGTAAGATGATAGGTCCTCCACTAATACTTGCCTCAGGTCCTGCACAAAAAGTGCAGCAAGTGTAGTATGAGTACGTAAATAACATGTACCCAATAAGTATCAAGCCTAATCTCGAAGTTGTAGAGACGAGATGGTCGACTTTGACACTCACTAAGGGTCAACAATAATAATTAGAATAAAATAGATTATCTAAATCAACATGTTTCACAGAATTAACAATAATTTATTTAACGAGCGAAAATAATTAAATTCCCTCAAATGCAACAATTCTCAATATATTAAATTCCTTCAATTTCAATAAATTTTCAATTTATCAATTAGCTTCATAAGCTGCAATAAACTATCAAAGTATCATGTAATTATTATTATTACGCACGATTTCTGTCGAGACCGTACGGCCCGATCCAGAGTGTCGTGTACATTGCCGAGGGACATGCGGCGCGATCCATAGATGCATCTATACTGCCGAGACGTTCGGCCCGCTCCACAAAAAAGGAGAATATTTTCTTATGTACCTCCGGAAGGATAGTATATTTATTATAAGATCAATTCGAGAGGATGAACAATTTCTTTTAACAATTAATTAATTTAAACATAAAATTAAGCATATGAGATTTTTATCTTTTATTATTTTTCTCTAACAATTCACACACAATATATATATATATATATATATATATATATCAAATAATTTTAATTAAACAAAGAATATAATTTACACAAGTATTTCATGATTTGAGTCCTAAACTACCCAAGTATTTAATAGTAGCTACGCACGGACTCTCGTCACCTCGTGCATATGTAGCCCACACAATTAGCAACAATTATTAATTTAATTACCTATGGGGTAATTTCCCCCTCACAAGATTAGACAAGAGACTTACCTTGTCTCAAAGTCCACTTTTCGATTACCACGCAGCGTTAAATTCTCAATTTGATGCCGAAAAATCCAAAACTATCCAAATATTATATAAAATAATTAATACATATTTAATAATTCAAATTTAGGCTATTAAATAAATTACCCAACCCAAAATGGTAAAATTTCTAAAATTTACCCGGGCCCACGTGCCCGGATTTCGGAAATTCTCGGATGAAAATGTTACTCATAATCTCAAGAACTCAAATATATAATTTCTATCCAACTCCATAACCATTTTTGTGCTTAAAATCTCGTTTTTATAAAAATCAAGTTTTTTTATCTAAACCTTTGATTTCTAAGATTTACTAGTTATAATCTACCCATAATCTATGTATTTAACTCGAAGTGTGTAGAATTAACTTACCTTCAAGTTGCTAGTTGAACTCCCCTCTCAAAAAGCTCCAAAATCGCCCAACAATGGAAGAAATGGGGTTAAAAAAATGGTGAAATCTCGTTTTTAAGACATTTTGTCCGGTACAGTGGACCCTTTATTCGCGAACGCGGTCAAAGATTCGCGTTCGCGAAGGCCATTTTCCTCAGCCTCAAAATTACCCTTCGCGAACGCGATAGGGGTCTCGCGAACGCAAAGGCCTACGCTGATTGACCATCGCGAACGCGATAGCTCTTTCGCGAACGCGTAGAGCAAAGTTCACTGGCCCTCCCTGGCCCCATTTCCCTTACGCGAACGCGAGTGGGATTCGCGAACGCGATGACCTAGGTTCTCATGGCTTCGCGAACGCGTGAGCCTGTCCGCGAACGCGAAGGACAAATTGCCTACTGCCCCACATCCTTCTTCGCGAACGCGATTTCCCTCTCGCGAATGCGAAGAAGGAAGCCAGAACTGGAAAATCTGGTTTCTCAGATTTAGCTCCGGACGGTCCGAAACACACCCGAACCCCTCGGGACCCCGTCCAAAGGCACCAACAAGTCTGTAAACATAATACGGACTTGCTCGAACTCTCAAAATACGAAATTCAACAACAAGTCCAAGAATCACACCCCAAAACCAAATTGGATCAAACATTGAACTTCAAGTTTCTAACATCCTCCGAACGCGTCGAATCATATTTATACTACTCGGAATGACACCAAATTTTGCGTGCAAGTCTTAATGACATAACGAGGCTATGAAAATTTTTAGAACTGGGTTCCGACCCCGATATCAAAAAGTCAATTCCCCGGTCAAACTTTCAAACTTTAAATTCTTGTTTTAGCCATTTCAAGCCTAATTTAACCATGGACTTCCAAATAAAAATTCGAACATGTTCCTAAGTCCAAAATCACCATACGGAACTATTGGAACCGTCAAATTTTGATTTCGGGGTCGTTTTCTCAAAATGTTGACCGAAGTCAAACTTGGCCTTTTAAGGCTAACTTAAGAAACCAAGTGTTCCGATTTCAACCAAACACTTCCAAATCCCGAACCAACCATTTCCGCAAGTCATAAATTATTAAAAGCACATACGGAAAGTTTTATTTTAGGGAATGGGGTTCTAAAAATTAAAATGACCGGTTGGGTCATTACACCTAAACCTTAATAGGCAGATTTATTTAGTTTTTCTTTGTCCTCTTTTTTAGTACTTTATAATAGAACATGTAATCAAGTAAAAGAAAAGACTTGCATTAATTAAGTTGTAGGATTTTGTATAGAGTATTCTACTATTATTATGACGATACATGTTCCACCAACCAAAATAATCCCCATAAAATTGGTTGTATAATACATTAAATTTGAATTTAAATTTCCAAAAAATTGTGAGTGAGGTTAACAGATGAGGAATTTTCAGAAACCACTATTGTTTCGTGGCTATTAACTTTCTATAGCTACTATATACATAATTACTATCTATAGCTACTATTCAGTTGTTACGGTAGTGTATTCGCGCGGATGTATTCATGAATACAACAACAAAAAGTGTCTAAAATCAGGACAATGCAGTTGTACGTGCATGTATTCACATGTATTTGCGCTGCTGTATTCATGAATACAACATCAAAAAACACCTAAAATCAGGGCCGTCTAGCTGTACGCACATGTATTCGCGCCATGTATTCATGAATATAGTAACGGCAATCACCTTAAAAATAGGTATGTCTAACTGTCTAATAATGGAAATAATATCAATTAGCGTGATACACTCCTAATATAACTCAACAAAATCAATTCTTACATGCCTCATTATCAACTCAATTATAGCCTGTTTGGCCAAGATGGAAAAATTAACTTATTTTGAGAACTGCTTTTTTCAAAGTGCTTTTGAAAAAAAATACTTTTGCACAGAAGCAGTTTGTGTTTGGCTAATCACTCTGAAAAATACTTTTGAGCAATAATTTGTGTTTGGCCAAACTTTTCAGAAAGTGCTTTTAAGTATCAAATTACGAATAAGGACATGAATAGATTTACTTAATAGTTAATATTATAAGTAAAGCATAATCTTAAAAATTTGTTGTTACAAGCAATAATTAAATCTTTTTATTTTATTTAAGTAAAATATAAAAATAAAATTTAAAAGTACTTAATTCTTTTAATATAAGTTAAATATATTAAAAATTACTCAACAAATATAAAAGCATTTATCCCTAAAGTCACAATATATTAGAAAGATATCCTAAAAATAATAAAAAATATTTATACATTAATATCCTATGTATTAGGTTTAATGATTATTTTGGTATATATTATATTTTGTTAAGGGTATTTTTGGTAAGAAGAAAAGTCAAAACTGCTTCTGCTTCTCCTTTTGGGAAAAAACTACTTTTTTCTGCTTCTCAGAAACTGCTTTTGCTTCTTCCCAAAAATACTTTTCTCCCTAAAAAAACTTGGCCAAACACCTCAAGTTAGGAAAAAAAAAATATTTTTGAGAAAAAAATACTTTTGGCCTCTTGAGAAGCTTGGACAAACAGACTATTAATTAGAATAATTTTTCAGTTGTATATAAATGTTGTATTTAACTTTAGTATTTAGTGTGTTTCAATATTTTTTTTACTAGTGCATTCATTAGATTCAATGTATATATTTACTGTATTTACTATTTTTTATTCAGTGTATTCAAATGAATTTGTATTGGCAGCATTTTAGTTATTCCTAATACATGTTATTGCTGTTGTATTCAGTATATTTTATTGGTTGTATTCATTCTATTTCTATTTGTATTCAGTATATTTTACTATATTTCACTATATTTTAAAATTAAATGTATTCACTGTTTATATTCTGTTTTATTTTAATATTTGTATTAAGCATATTTTAATATTTATATAATGTATTCATGCATGAATATCTGGCGTATAAACTAACCAGGTATTCTGCTCGAACAGAGAGAGAAGGAAGAGAGAGAGAAAGAAGAAAATTTTGTTGGGATTTTGAAAGAGAATGGTATGTTAATTGAAAGAAAGAGAGAGAAGGAAGGGAGAGAGAAAAAAGAAAAAATTTGAGAGAGAATCTTATGTTAATTGAAAGAAAGAGAGCAAAAACATAAATAACATATTTCATGTCTCAATAGTAGCATGTACTATTTTGCTATAAAATATAAAAGGTAGTTATAGAAAATAATATTTTAAAATAATTTTGATTATAATAAATATGATGTATACATTTGCTAGAGGAGTTAAAAACTTAAAATTTTCATAACACATACTATTCGAGGAGGTTTTAGGCCTTCTTGGCCTTTTACAATATTAAATTTTAAAAAATATTATTTTTAGATATCTTATGTATAAACAAAAAATTTCTTGCGTGAAAAAATAAATCTCCCATATATAAAAAAAGAGATCAAAACTAAAAACAAGTTTGTAAAAGGCCAAAAAATCAGACACCAATCATGTTATCGTTGTAGAAATGTTGCTTTGTCAAATTGGTGACAGGGTGTATACTTACCCGGCCCATTTTATATTTTCTGGACAGCCTCTGCATCAGCTATTGGTTCCATTTCTGTTTGAGAAATACTGCATCTCTTCTCCCTCACTCGCTCAACACCTCACTCAGCTGCTCCTTTCTCAAGTCTCAACCAGACCAAACATGTTTTTCCACATAGTATTAGAGAGAAACATGCAGCTTCATCCCCGTCACTTCGGCCGTGATCTTCGCGAAAAACTCGTCTCCAAACTCATGAAAGATGTAGAAGGCACTTGCAGGTTTCATTTTAAAAAAAGCAAACCCTAATTCATATCAAATTTTGCAATTTCCTTCTGATTTAACATTAAATTTGGTTTAAATTGATCGCCTAAGATTTTGGGGTTCTTCAGTGGTCGGCACGGTTTCATAGTGGCGATTACTGGGATCGAAAGCGTTGGGAAAGGTTTAATTCGTGACGGGACGGGTTTTGTTACGTTCCCAGTGAAGTATCAATGCGTTGTGTTTCGACCTTTCAAAGGTGAGATTTTGGAAGCTGTTGTTACCATGGTTAACAAGGTAAGAAATGTTTCATTGCACTAAAATTTTGTCATGATTCACATGGCTTGGAATAAAATTAAATAGTCGAATCGACTAGTTTGGGATTCAAACTTAGATTAATTGATTGACCTATAGATATTTTCTTTATGACGGTTGTGGCCAAACAACTTATGTGCACCTTACTATTCCACCTAGTCCTTATAGTCAATTTGGAAGAAGCAGAACTCAAGCTCTACGTACTATCTCCCACTAGCACTTACCGGCCTTGTAGTCCATTAGGAAGAAGGAGAAATGAAGCTCTATGTACTACCTCCCACTAGCACAGTTACAAGGTAACTCTGCTTACCAAGGTTTAGGCTGATTGGAGAAAGTTAGCTAGTGTTTTATTAAAATGGATCATGATACATACACGGCTCGAATAGAGTGGACTTGATGCAGATGAATTAAATAGTTGAATCCAACTAGTTTGGATTGAGACTAAGATTGATTGACTGACCTATAGATATATGATTGTCAAATATACAATGTTCATTACATTAAAGTTGGTCATGATTTCTATGTAGCGAATAAAGAATCTTCAATAGTGTATAAGGGATGTAGACAATCATATAGCTGACTCTAACTAGTTTGAGATTGAGACTTAGATTAATTGATTGATTGACTTACAATCTATTTTATGATTGTGAAATATTGTAGATAGGACTTATCCAAGGTTAGAAATTTTCATTGCATTAAAGTTGGTTATGATTTGCATAATATTGACATGAGTTGAGTTTAAATGGAGTAACAAGTTCAGTTACTGAGACATAGTAGTAGTTGTTGTAAAGTTGGTAGCTTGAATAGTGTAGAATGGAGGTAGGCTATCATATATCTGACTCTAACTAGTTTGGGATTGAAACATAGATTATTGATTGACATAGGAAACATTATGAATATTTAATTAATTGGCCTATGCATATTTATGATTTTGGACATTGCATTTGCAAGGAAAAAGATTTCATTGTATTTATGTTAGTCTTGGTAGTGAACTCTAATTAGTTTTACAAGATAAATTAATTGCCGGTTAGGAATGAAATGGTCTCAATAGAGCAGAATGTATATAGAAGATTCATATATATAGCCGACTCCAAGTGGTTTAGGCGTAGTTGATCTATTGATTGATTGGTAAAGTTAATTAAGTTTTTTCCCTCTACCTATAGATACTTATATTTGTGGAATATTGCAGATGGGATTTTTTGCTGAAGCAGGGCCTGTGCAGATTTTTGTTTCAAATCATGTGAGTTTGTCTCGGATCTTGAATATTTAGACCAGCATATATTGTTGATCTGCATACCTGCTCTACTTTTTTTAGCATTGCATACCACTGGGGCACCTTGCTATTTGCATGAGTGTGATTTAAGTTATATCTTTGAAAATTTTGTAAAAGTTGTCTTGCCATCTTGAAATATTTATTAGTTGGCAGTGAAATTCTATATATTCGAATTATGTTTGTTATTTATAGTTCAGAGCATCTCTGATATATGTAAAAGTAATTATTCTTTTCCCAGTTTATGCTAATATACACTCCATTTGATGCATGTGAAAGCTTACATAGGACCTTTTTCTCACATTTGCTTGTGTCTGACCCTTGGATTTCCTGCAGTTGATACCAGATGACATGGAGTTTCAGTCAGGGGATGTGCCAAACTATACAACTTCAGATGGCTCGGTATGTAATATTTATTTGCCTCTATGTTGCTTAAATCCTCCAAAAATGCCGCTGCACCCATGTCGGATCCTTGATGACGTCCAATCCTACTCTCGATGTGAGTAATAGTACGGTCATTAGCAATAATAAACCCTACTAGGTTGGGGTCGAACCTCACAAGGAGTGTGGTGTGTGCTAGAGTGTCAAAATGTGTGAGAACTTGATGTTTCCTAATGTAAGCTCCAAACAAAAGAGTGATTGTTCAATTACTTCTAAAGACTTTTAAAATTACTAAACTAGGCTAGGAATTTTATCGAACACGTAGAATGCAAGTAAAAATGGTTTGTTTTCTAATAAGAGAAAGATACGGGTTATAACCTCAGTATGGCATAGTTAGTTCTTGGGTGTACTTAGCTTGCCTAAATACTTTGAATTAGTAATTATGATACAATTATTAGCTACCCACTAGAAATTTTCAACTCTAGCAAGCTTATCCCTAGAATGTTCTTCCAAACCCAAAGGAATGCACTAAAACCCAATTGATAATGAACCAAGTAGGGATCTCACTGTTCCTAGTTTGATTTCATTAACCAAGCTTCATTAATTCCTTAATAAGCCCAAATCCTTGCTACTTGTTAACTACCCAATCCAATTTCCACCTTTCCAAGTAAGAAATAGACGACAAAGGGTTCAATTAGTGTTTGCAACTACCAAATTAACAATAAATCATGAAAACAAGTAAGATAATCACAACCCAAGTAATAATAAACAAGATAAACAAATACCCATTCACATTAATGCCATAAGAGTTTATAACCGTAGCTATAAAGCTTAGCTACTCATACTAGAAATGGAAAATAAAAGTTGGATGAAAAGATAAACATAATTAAAGACTAATAAAGTAAGAAAATCCAAACACAATGGTGAAGATCCTCCAAATCCTTGCTGAACTAGGTTAAAAACTGTTGTATTACTCCAAAGAATGAAAAATGACCTAAGAAAATGAGCTAAGATTCTATTTATAATAGCCGGAAAGTCTTGATAAAAATGCCCCTGCAGTGCTAAATCACAGAGTCGAAAATATTTCGTCTTCACGTTTTTGCTTCTCCTCCATTCAAGTCTTGCTTCCGATGATTTTTGTATACTGAAATCGTGGAGCGGAAATATTCCGTCCACCTAGGCAGATTTTCAACTTTTTCAGGTGTCCAAAATCATGGAGCCGAAATTGTTTCCATTTTCAGACAAAGGAGATAACAAAAGAAAAGTATTGTGGTTAGGAAAAGGAAAGGAATAGACCAAGTATGCAGAGTAAAAATAGAAGATATACGTGACCAAATTTTCCTGGCCATCCGTCCAGAAGAAAAGCAAGCTACCTTTCTTTGATCTCCCTTCCCGAGCAGGGAAGAGAACTATCTCCATGTTTTTTCTTAGTCTTATAGGCTTGAACATTTAACCGAAATTCTTCATTTTTGGGCTTTAAAAACGGTTCCACGATATAATATCACGGGCACAATTTTTCCTCTTTCTTCGTTTTCCAATTCTTCCATCTCTTGCTCCAAATTCCATCTCTTTTATCCTTTTTGTTCAAATCCTTCATCAACTGTTTACTTTAGGCTCGAACACCTGAAACCAACCAAATTAAGTTAGTTTAATCTATTAAATTGTACTCAAAGAACCTTAAAACTCAAAGAAAGGTATGAATAAGTTGGTATTTTCGCCAACTTATCAACTCCCCCAAATTTAAGTTTTTGCTTGTCCTAAAAGAAAAATAAAATGACACAAAACCTTAACACACCAAAGCATCCGAGTTTTATGACTTTGGTTGGTACCACCAATTAATCAAAAACATGTGAGCCATCAACAAGAATTGTTAATTTCAAATTTCAAGATCAAATGCTAAATCATCATTAGAATCAAGAATCAATCAAACCATGACACCAAAGTTTCATATCTTGTCTCTTCGTCACAAGGCAACCATTTTATCTCTCATTCATCTTCATTGGAAAATGACACACCTAGTCCAATTCTCAAGTTTTCATGTATCCTCGCAACAACAAAGGATCCCAAACGCACAAGATTGCATTCAACACAAAAAAGGATACAATCAAAGAAATATTCCCTCAGTCTCTCAAAAGATGTTCAAGTGCACATCATTAGTAGTATAGGCTTGCCCGTCATGTAGATCTCCACTAATGCAGGCATATCTAATGAAGAATCACATAGGGCTTAAGTGAGTTGTAATATAGGCTTTTGGTCAAGGGTAGGATATCAATTTGGATACGTAGTGACTAGACTCCCTAAGCACTACAAATTGCAACAATTCAACGCACACTTCCTTGTCAAAATCTTTCCACACTTTTTGCTCCTTTTTTCAATTTTATCATCTTGTCACCCCTTTTATTTCACGATTCTTTTTTTTTTCAATGCTTT